CTCTCTCTCTCTCTTGGAAACATGAAATGTTAATTATATCTGCCACAGAGATACAAAATAAGTTGATATCTGGTGAAGATCATTCTCTCATTATCTATTATTTTCATGGCTTCAACTTTATTTAGGTCCTAGCCTCATTTCATGTAAAACACATTTTATATTTTTTTTATGATGATTAAAGCACAGGCGAGATGGGGATCAACTTTGAGAGCAAGAACATGGTTGTTGGTATAGAAAAATTACGTGCAACCTTTCCCTTGTTATAAGTAAGAAAAGTTGACCTCAAGAGTCCACCAAAAGTTGACATATTCTTGTCATAGCGCGAAACTTCTATGCTTTATAACCCACCACTCATTCACAGTTCAAAAATATGTGACAGTGAATGCGGAACTAAGTTTGCGAAAGAACGTCAAAAAAACACATGGAGCTCGAAACACAAAATATTTTATTGATAAGCGCTGCTCTCTCATTTCATGATAGATTAAATAATTTCACCATTTTTTTATTGTTATAGTGGTTTTGAATCTGCATATTCATGTTGATCTGCAGATGACTGGTCAAGCTGCTAATCTTTCGTTCAAGGGTAGTCCATACTGGATGGCTCCCGAGGTACATATCCCTTGCAACCTCAGATTATTTATTCGTCGTGATGCTTAACTATGCTGATGTATGATATTTCTGGCAGCTCTTGCAGTCTGTGATGCAGACAGATGCTAGTTCTGATCTTGCTTTAGCAGTTGATATATGGAGCTTGGGCTGTACTATAATTGAAATGATGAATGGAAAACCCCCTTGGAGTGAATGCGAAGGGGTAAGCTCCAGATGTTGATCGATGTGATTGTTTTGTGATTTCAGTTACCTGGTAGATATTTTTGAATACAAATAACGTTTCTATGATTAAAAGCCCTCATAATACTGGACAATTGACACTTATGACATTATAATTTTCTTTGTTTCTTGGAAAAATATTCCTATCTAGGTGATAGTGTTGTCGACAGTCAAAGTTATTGCTCCATGAATTGCTCAGGGACATGAAAGAGACAAACAATGCCGAATAAGATTCTATTCAGACTTGGACTGAAATCATAACAACCTCTAAAGTCAAGTTTAAACCTAACTAGTTTGCAAGCCACCGTTGAATAAATTTTATCATATTATTACATCACAAGTTGAGCTCAGTTTGCATGATTCCTTTGAATTTATCAATATGTTTTATTGAATGAATTTAAACTGTCTCAACTCCCATATACTATTGCCATAAATTGTGTACATTTCACTATTGTCTTGCTTGAGTTTTGTTGGACTTCATGGGTATCATTAATAAGACTTGCTATACGTTATATTTTGGTGAATCAATTCTTTATAGTTCTATGAAGTTATTCTACCCAAATATATGTATCTACATTTAATTTTATTTATTCTCAATTGTCATATATAAATATTTTTTTATTATGCCCTGTTCCTCTCTTTCGTTATTGTTAGTCAAGATGGGTCAAATTTTTATTTGATAACCTTCATATTGTTAATCAATATAAATCCATTCAGCCTGCAGCATTGTTCAAGGTTTTAAAGGAGAATCCACCAATACCTGAAACCATGTCAGCAGATGGCAAAGATTTCTTGCGCCGTTGCTTTAGAAGAAATCCAGCTGACAGGCCAACAGCTAGCATGTTGCTCGAACATCCATTTGTGAACCAGTTAGTTAATGGAATAACATCAACGGTAAATTACATTTTGCATGCTGCATTTTCCTATACTCTGTCAATAGCGTTGATTTATGCAGTAATAGTATGCATGATTCCAGCAGGACAATAAAAAATTTCAGCAATCAACTTATAAATTCGATCGAGTGCCTGTGTCCAAAGATACATGGACCACAAAGGGCAAACTGCAGGCTATCAAGTAAGAGTTACATCCTGCATTATCTCTGCCCTTCCCTTCCCTGCCTTGCATATGGACATTACATGCACCTGAATACATTCTACAATTGGCATTTGACTTTGCATCTCTTGGCCTTCAGCTTTATGCGTGATTCTTTTTCTCCAGTGAGACTAGCCAACGAGGTGAACGTGAAGTATCCAATTTAGCCATGGTTCCACTTCTTTCTCGTTCAACTCTTGAGGCTCTTCCTAGTTTATCACCATTGTGCTTGGGCAATTCATTACCCCTATGGTTCCAGCATTCCAGCAAATGTTCCTAGTACTCAAACAGGGCGGGAATAGGAATCACTGAAGAGTAATGGATCTGCCACTGACTTTTTTTTGGTTTGTTTTTCCTCTTGAGATCTCTCCCCTTCAGTGTGCTCTTAGAGGTAGAACTTAGGGTATGTTGGGGGTAGCCTCGACATGATTGAAAAGAAGAAAAATCAGTGAAAATCTTGTATGTAGTGAGAACTCAACTCGTGATTGTGTGAGGACCTCCCTTAGCATTCTTTTCTAGGTAGCTGATACAGTAATTTTTTATTGTTAATGTTGTCAAGAAAGGGAAACTCTTGGAAAATCTCCCTGGACTGTGAATTGTAGATGTAGGCTTTTTATAAATAGAGCTTATCAATAATATTGACATACAGAAGATTGATTTCATTAGACTTTTTCAATAGATATGAGACACAGTAGCGAAGAATGATTCATACAATTGATTCTAAGGTTATTGAAGATATGATTTGGTTGTTGCTCTTAAAGTAAATGCTCCACAGGTAGATTAAATTGCAGTCGAGAAAAAAAAATTAGTTTGTGTTTTGATTGAATTATGATTTTTCCTCTTTACTTTTAGTAGATTTTAATAAAAATTAATTAAATGTGCGGTTGAAAAGTTAATAAAAATTCTGAAATTTATGAAATATGTGATTAAAATTAATTGTTGACTTTGACTTAAACTTTATCAACTATTTTAGGTAAATCAAACAAGGGCTCGGTTTAATGGCAACAAAGTCTCAATTTCATACTCCAATTTTTTAGAGCTTCCAACCAAGTTCGAGCTAACTAGTGATTTGAGAAAGGAAATAAACTATGGTGGATTTCAAATCAATATTGAAAATACGATAAAATATTGAGAAAAAATTTTAAAGATAATTTTATATATTCTAACGTGTCCAATAATAACTTAAAAAAAGTATGAACAGTTTATATTATATTCAATTTTGAGACTAAAATAATTATTTAGCCCAAATTTGAGAGGCCCGTTTGATTCTCATTATTATAGAATGAGAATGAAAAATATAATCGTTATTGGACTCCACACAAGAGATAGAAATGCAAAATTGATGGCTTGATGTGATGGATAATGGTCATATTTTTCATTTTTATGGATGAAAAATAAGAGACAAGCGAGAGCTAAAAAAAATTACTTCTTATCTTATTTCCATAAAAAAAGAATTAATTATTCCTGAAATCCTATCTGTATCATTTCCAGCAAAACCCTATAGCCCTAAAAAATTAAAATTAGGAACTATTGAGATTTGCTATTGAACTCTGTCGCTCCGATCAAATCCTTGGATGAGTTGAGTTGGGTCGGGTCGAGTACGCAACTTGACTTTCTTTTTTTCAGACCATTTACCTCACGCCACTCCATCTTTATTTTTTCCCACATTGATTCTTCAATTTTGTCTAAATTCAGAGAATGTCATATCAAAATTCCCCATTTTCATTTTTTAATGCTGACTCAGACCAGTCTCAATAACTCGAATATTAGTATATTACACCACTTACTAACTACACTGTCACCTGTTAAATTCCAACTTGCATATTGCTGACTCATTTTGCACTGTATCTGTAGGATGATATTCCTGTTGATTTTTTCTTCAGCTTTTGCCCTCTAGCGTTCTTCTGTTTTTTTTTTGACACTAGTACAATTTATTACACCTCAACAGTCAAGTTAGAATTATACTAGAGTAACGATTTGCTTGAAGCATGTAACAATACGAAAATTGAAGGGTTCGTGTCGTTAGGAATTTCTTGTAGGTTCTCTTTTTTTGGGTCATATATATGTCTTGTACACTAGGATTACATAGAAACAAAGAGAGCTTGTATGTGATGGAGAAATAAAGAGATCTTGTATGTGAAATCATTTTCCCTTGGATGGAGTAATGGTTGCTAATTTTCCTGTATCTATATATTTCTTGAAGTTTTTACCATGTCTGATGTACATTCTTAAATTTTTTGAACTTGTTCATCTATGTGTTAAGAGAAACGATAGTTTTTTTCTTTCATTAGACGCATGATTCATTTTCTGATGAAAGACCTTATATGTGAAATTTTCAAAAATATGCAGCAGTGAGATTTAAATTGTTTTCTAACATCAACTTGCTGAGACTTGGGATGGGGAAATGTTTAGTTACCGTGTTGAACCATAACATCTAATAGCCTTACTGAAAGAGGTTTGACAAGGTTGTCTAAGGAACAAAAAAAGCATCATGGAGGGTAATCTTTCGATCTGAGTTAGGCACCATCATCTCCTTATCAATGGTTTTGGTGTCCTTTTCACATGCATTTACAGTTATGTATATACATCTGAGTGTTGTATACTTCTTCAATACATGCACATGTTTCAAATCACATATGCATATGCATATTATAACTCTATTTCGCGCAACTAATATATACAATTATAAAAACTTACTTTCGGTATAAAACTATACTTTTTCTTCTTAGCATCATCTTCAAGTAAACATATTTAAGTCAAATTGAGGCTTCACCACTACTGCTGTCCTGCCTTTATCTATGCATACCTCATTAGGCCACTGGGAGTATTCTATATTTTCTGGAGGTGGATTGTCTGGTTTCTTTGTGGATTTTAATTAAACTAAGCTGAAATGGACATCTTGTTAAGTGGCTCTGCCACTCGTTCTCTAATAAATTGCTACTTCTGCTGCTCATACATACTACTCTCTGTAGAACTTTTGATTCTCTAATTTTCTCTTAAGACATGAATCGAAGTTGCTCGAAATTTTTGTCTCTACTTTTGTTTTGTTTCTTGTTTTTGGTTCCGTTTAGTTGTGGCCAACTTGATTATAAATTCTATGACAATAATTGTCCCAACTTGCTTAAGATGGTCAGATATGGTGTCTGGTCTGCTATAGCTAATGAAACTAGAATGGCTGCCTCTATTCTCCGCCTACATTTCCATGATTGTTTTGCTAATGTAATCACACATTACATTGTATACTTCCACATTCATGATTTTAAAAAACGTTTTCAAGGCGCCGTGTTACAATTCCGTGACTATTCTTGAATGATTTTCATTTAATAAATTTCTCTGCTTGTGATTATATAGGGGTGTGAAGGATCTGTCTTGCTTGATGATACCGGCACATTCACAGGGGAGAAGAACGCGACCCCTAATAAGAATTCGGCTAGAGGATTTGAAGTTATTGACGCGATAAAGGAAAATGTTGAGAAAGCTTGCCCATCTACAGTCTCTTGTGCTGATATATTAACTCTTGCTGCCAGGGAATCTGTTTATCTGGTAAAAAAAATAATCATCACTGTTTTGAGTGTTAAAAAACTTGAATTTTCATTACCATAATATGTTCTAATGTTGCCTATCCTGTCCACAACCAAATTTACTAGACTGGGGGTCCTTATTGGCCGGTGCCATTGGGTCGTCGAGATGGCCTAACAGCAAATGAGACTGCTGCTAACGAGCTCCCATCACCTTTCGAGCCCTTGGAAAATATCACAGCAAAATTTGTATCCAAGGGTTTCGATTTGAAAGATGTAGTCGTGCTTTCAGGTACAAATCCATATACATAGACTTGACTCTAGATAAACACAGGACAAGGCTTTATTGAAACTCTGCTGATACATTGAAAAATTTCGTCTCTAAGTAGACCTTGTTGATCCATGCAGGTGCACATACTATTGGCTTTGCTCAATGTTTCACATTTAAACAGAGGCTTTTCGACTTTGACGGGGCTGGTAATCCTGATCCAACACTTGATGCATCATTACTCAGCAATCTACGTACTGTCTGTCCGAATCAAAACAATTCTGATACAAATTTGGCTTCCTTGGATCCTACTACGACAAACAAGTTTGACAACTACTATTTCAAGAATCTTGTAAACAATTCCGGTCTCCTACAGTCGGACCAAGCCCTCATGGGTGACAATAACACTGCTTCATTTGTCATGAACTATAGCAAATTCCCTTTCCTTTTCTCCAGAGATTTTGGTATCTCTATGGTCAAGATGGGAAATATTGGTGTTCTTACAAAACAAGATGGAGAGATAAGGAAAAACTGTAGAATGGTAAATTAGAAACTTTCCTATCTAAACGAAAT